AAATTGCGACTCAGACATCGCGGATGCGAGAAGGCTACCTACACACAGGGTTCAGAGCCAACCAATCCTGCTTGCACGCCTACGTACTTCCTGACCTCCAAACCCTGAAGAGCCGTGAACCCTGAACCTGAACCCTACACCCTAAACCAATGCCCTAAACAAGTTACGTCTCACCATCTCCCTGTTCTCAAACCGAAGTTGCGAAAGCTTCAAGCATCACTGTCACTGCTTTAACTTTTAGCAGTGTGCTTCCTTATTGAACCAGGGTGCTCAATTCTATGGGTAACACAAGCGAAACAGAGGGAAATAAAAGGCGACCACAAAGCCGTAATACAGATTGCAGTGATACTCTTTATTTCTCCCTGACCTGAAACCCTCAAGCCCTACAAAAATCCAAGAGCAACAACCCAAAACCAACAAAGGCTGACCCCTAAACTCTAAACCTCTAAACCCCTTCTACTCTTTTTCCCTAAACCCCTAAGCCCCAAAAAACAGAACTTGAACCCATAAACCCTCGAAAACAAAAAACTAAACCCTAAACCCTAAAACCCTAAGCTGCTGCACAAAGACCCTGGCCCGGATGACGACGGCGAGCCGCCGGTTCGGATAATGAGTACCGGGCTCGGGGTTTCTGCGGCTTCCGGGGTTCTCTGTAGGGGCTCCTTTAAAGGCTCCTCTAAAGGCTACTATAGGATTCTATAGGGTTCGTTTAAAGGTTCTATAGAATCAGAACTCTATAGGGTTGCTTGAAGGGGTTGAGGTTTATGTCTTCGTGGCTTCTCTGTTAGGATTGCTACTGCACTACCACCGGAGGATGATGATGCTGACGATGCTGGCGATGGCGATGGTGATGGCGCTGTGTGAAGTTACGCGAGTATGTTTGTGGGAGAGAGGGAGGGAGAGAGAGTGTGTGCGCGTGTGTTTTGTCTTTGCGTGTGTGCGTGTGGCAAAGAAGTCGTTTGGAGCAGAGTACGGTGATCTAGGGTGTTGTAGACGTTCGTAAAAGCTTTCGTTAGTGGATGTTCTGGGTTAGGGTTTTGGAGTTGGGTTGGGATCATGGGTTCAGACGTTTCGATTCTTCGATGCTAAGAAGTGTTTGCTGCTTGAGTAATTCGGGGGCTCGGAGAGCACATGGTGCCTTTGTACCCGTCCTCACAACAAGGATTTCCAGAACCCTAAACCCTGACACCCTACAAACCCTAAAGCTGAAACCCTACACCCCTACACCCCCAAAAATCCCGCCCTCGATGCCTTCAGCCGAAGAAGTTGTCGATCAAATCCACAGCAGCTCCCCTTCCTTGCTCTGCGCCGTCTCGGAGAGCCTTTTGCTCCTTTTTTGGGAGGCGTTCGGTTCCTTAAAGGGATCTATAGGATTTAGGGTTGAGGATTTTATCGTTTAGGGGTTTGGGGTTTAGGGTGTAGGGGTTCAGGGATATGATTACTACAAGGGCTCTAAGAATACTGGGATACATAGAGATCACGGTGTAGAGTTCGCGATTAAGGCTCGGATCTCTTGGTAGGGTGGTTCTTGCTTCGAGGTTGTTAAGTGATATGTAGGACTGGAGAATATGAGGCTCGCTTGCAGACACCTCGTTAAGGTACCTAAACCCTTCAGCCCTAAACCCTAGAGGTACCTAGATCCTTCTACTGTACCCATGAACATGTCAGAAGGGCCTTTGACGATGCTGTTGTTCACAGGCAGGCTTTGTTTGTCGATGAGCTGTCAAGCCACATTTGTCCTTGGAGCCCAGAAGCCCGGAACCCAACGATTTTTCGCAATGACCTCATAAGGACAGACCTTTGCCATGCGCATTCTCGGCGTCTTGAGTGACCTTCTATCGACCGCAACAGTTTTGAAAGTGCCACCCAGCGTTGCTTGGCAGCTAAAGGGACACCACTCGTGCACCAGAGGTTTGCGACTTTCCACAGGCAGCGTGGGTTCAAGCCTCATTCAGGTCCGAGGGTGATCATGATGATTTTGAAGCTGCTGCAGGCCCGTAGTTACAAAACAACATCGGCAAGAGCTGAAAGTTGCTCAAGGCTACAAGCATAATCACTGCCTCAAACTGTCGCTAGCGATTGACCCCTAAACCTTAAACCCTAAAACCCACACTAGATGCACAGGCACGGGCATCCTGTCACAGGCTGTCGCCTCACAGCCCTGAAGCCCAAACCCTGGTTCCCAAAGCCTAAACCCTAAACGTCCCTAAACATTTAGCCCCAGAGTCCTAAGAATCCCTACAGCCTGAACTTTCAAGCCGGGTTTACAACCCGACGATCCCAAACCCTGCAGCCTGAAGGACTTATCTAGCCACTGATATTGGGGGAGCTAAGGAGCCAGGGGTGATGATAATCCCTACTTGATTAGGAGCTAAAGAGCCAAGGGAACCCCAAAACCATAGGTTAGTTATTATCTAGAATATTCGGGTTATAAGTCCCCTAAGTGGGGCCTTTTTCTCTTACAGCATATTTTTTTGAATAGGTACTTACTAACTCTCGTGTTTAAGCAGCAATCCCCTGTTACTGAGGCTTCCATAAAGGTTCCCTGCAAAGTTTCTATGTAGAGCTAGGGTTTGCATTGACGGTCCCCCACTTGGTTTTCCCCTTAGCTTCCTGAGGTTCCAGCGATTCAGGGATTAGGACCAGAGACTCCAATATCCCCAGATTCCCTAAATCATATTGGGGATCGTACTATGATGTAAGGTAAATTTCTTAATTCAGGGACACTGGAGTCCCCTAAACCCTATGCCCTATAGATCCCTCAAAGGAACCCTTGGGTCCTACTCGTGTTCCTTACTTGAAGGCTCATGGTAGCCTAAACTCCCCCTGAAAGAACCCTTATAGATCCCTTAAAGGAGCCCGTTAAGGACCCCCTACTTATTAAGTCCCATGACCCTTTAAGTAATTACGGGATATTGAAGTCTCTTGGAAGGTATGGCTTTCCAGCCGAAAGGCTTCCTTGTACCAAAGCCGGAGAGCAGGAAAAACATCAAGCCGAGGGTTTAGGGTTTAGGGTTCAGCTTTGTGATAGGGTTCAGGGTTTAGGGTTTAGGGGTGCCGGGGAACTTAAGCATAACCCTTCTGAAACCCCCTACAGAAGCTTCATAAGACTTGTTCATTAAGAGTATATTGGGCAGCCAAGTTCAAGATCCGGGGTCAACAGCCCAGTACCCGTGCCGCAAAATTCAACCGAGGTATGTGGCCCCCATCCAGAGACAGCTGCAAGTCTGCACCTGGGGTTTAGAGTTGAGGGTTTAGGCCCAAGTTGTGAAGCATAAAAGGAAACCATACTGTAGAGCCCGAACAGGAAGATCCCCATTGACATTAGGTTGCAGGACATGGGGAGCTGCTCCAAAGTATGTCCTTCTGTTCTAGTCCATTGCGGAGAAGCAGAGACTAGGATGCCCAGTAGTACCCTTATTCCCTTTTTGTAGTCCTAGGTTCCTTATAAAGTTACCCAATACCAAAAAGAGAGGCCTTTTTTTTCTTAGGTTACTGGGTATCCTAGTTCCCTTATAGATCCCTAAACCCTAAACCCTAAAGGATCCCTTAAAGGGGCCCTTTAAGGAACCCTACTAAGTATGTCCTTCTGTTCTAGTCCATTGCGGAGAAGCAGAGAGAGACCCCGAAACTTCCTCTCGTGCCGAGCCCTAAACCCTTTATGGAACCCTTATAGATCCCTTTGAGGAACCCTTATAGATCCCTTTAAGGAACCCTTATAGATCCCTTTAAGGAACCCTTATAGATCCCTTTAAGGAACCCTTATAGATTTGTAAGGGTACTACTGGGCATCCTAGTAATAGCTTAGAAGCACCCTGACATGCATGCCCGGATGTTTGGATTGGATGCATGTTGCATCTGATGCACTTCTTGAAGCAGGGTTGCTTTTCGTGTTTTTGAAGCAGACCATCAAGGGAACGAAGGGCGCGCCTTTTGACTGGTGCAGATGGCCGCAGTGAATTTGGGGCGGCAGTTTGGGAAATTGAAGGTGCCGTTTCTGGTTCTCAGTATAAGGCTATCATTATTTTGGGGCTTTCTGCTGGGATCTCCTATGTTCTGAAACTCCCATTTTCGTACGCGGAGATTTCATGATCGACTATACCTGCGACCCGACACGTCACCCAGGTGTGTCTAGATTGTAGGGCGTAGGTTGGGAGATTGAGAGTTTATGAATACAGTGCCGCAGAGTTGAGTCCGGAACTGCATAGATGTAAGTTCAAGTCCGCTTTCACAGAGGTCCTTGAATTTCAACCGGAACTACTTAAAGACTCATGGGACTTAATAAGTAGGTTATAATTGGGGTTATCAGCCCCGTTATCGTATTTATAACCTATTCAGAACCTTACTTACTCAGTCCCATGAGCCTGTAAGTAGACCCAAAAAACCCCCAAGTAAACGCTAAACCCCCCCCGACACCCTTTACAACCCCTATAGTACCCTTAAGGAAGCCTAAACTCCACTTACTGTGTCCCATGATCCCCTAAGTATCATAGGGATCCTTAGGGGTGTAGGGGGGAGGGGTGTAGGGGACTATATTTCCTTAAATAGGCCTTATTAGTCCTTATTATGGGCCTTAAGGCCCCCTACCCCCCCCTCCCCCTACACCGCTAAAGATCCCTATGATAAGTAGTTGTGCATCCCAGGTTTTGAACTGCGACAAGCCAGATCTGGGATCGTGCGGCAACTGGGCTCTTGTTAAGGGATTCCTCAAAAGGGTTCCGTAAAGGGATTCCTTAAAGGGATCCTTAAAGGGATCTAGATGGAGTCTAAAGGGGAATTAAGGAATATGTTCTACAGGGTTCTTGTGAAGGAATGTATTTTAAGTTACCATACTAGAGATCTACGAATGTTCCTTTAAGGGATCTATAAGGGTTCCTTCCATAGCTTAGGGTTTAAGGTTCTATACTAGATCATATGGTTTCGTTATTATGGTACCTTAAATTTAGTCCCTTAAGAAGAACCCAGGCAATGCATGTTGCTTGGTAGATCTCGATCTCTCCATGGATCCGGCGACGGCCTACTCACACACCCTCGATGTGTTGAAGGGCTTGCAGGACGTCGGCTACAGCTATGTGACTGGTGGTGACCCCGAGCATGACCATGTTCTCTTTGACGAACCCCACGCAGGCGATGACCTGCGCCATTTCAACATCACGCAGCCGAAGCCCTTCAAGTTCCTCTTCCAGGGCCGCCACGATGCTCCCAAGTACAAGGGTCCAAACGGCGACATCTTGAACTTTGCGATCTACGAATCCGGCTCTGGCTCCGTTCTCCGGATGTTTTCGATTAGCAGGATCCATGGTGCTTTGGGGGACCATGGACAGAACTACAAGACGCTGCATTTCCTTTCCGACAAGCTCACCTCTAAGGAGCCCACTCCGGTGTATGGTTGTGGCCTTCCCATTGCATCCGCTGCCCCACCCTCCACGCAGCGCGCCAGCGAAAGCTCCTCAAGTGTTTCCTAGGCGTACTTAGAAATAATTTCTAATTTTTGGCCATTATAATCCCTAAGAAAGAGCTAAAATGATAATTTTGCTAGGGTTCCAAGTTCAGTATAGGTTTGCGGAGCCTCCCCTTCCACAGTTCCGGACTGCGACAAGCCGGACCGGGGCTCTTGCGGCAATGCATGCTGCATCTGGGTTGTGCTTTGGGATAATCTTTAATTTCCCTTATTTCCTTATAAAGGGAACCTATTCATAAATATTTTTCAAAGGTTTTCAAGCACAACCCAGGCATGGCAGAGCTCGACTTCTCCCATTATCCGCAGACAGTATACCACCACGCCCTCGATGTATTGAAGAGCTTGAAGGACCACGGCTACAGCTACATTACCGGCGGCGACCCCAATCCAGGAGATGATGTCCCTAAGTGGCATTTGGGAGGCGTTAAAGTGTCCCTTGTGGTCCTATAGAGGTACCTGCTCATAAACACCTTTGGGGCCCGAAAACTACGACCCAGGTGAACCCTAACCGCTACACCCAAAACTATTGCAAAACTAGAACCGCCCTGAACCCTAAACCCTATCCCTAAACCCTAAGCCCCAATCCCTAAACCCTAAGCCCCAATCCCTAAACCCTAAGCCCCAAACCCTAAACCCTAAGCCCAAAGCTAAAAGCCCTTAAACCCCTAAACCGAAACCCAGCTCCGCCATTACAACATCGAGAAGCCGAAGAACTTCCAGTTCATCTTCCAGGGGCGTCATGACGCTGAGCTTCTCTTACGGAACGCCTTCTTTTGGGGGGTTTGGGGCTTAGGGTTTAGGGCCGTTTAGGATTTAGGGTCAAGGGCCGTATAGGGTTTAGGATTTAGGGCCGTTTAGGGTTTAGGATGCCGTTTAGGGTTCAGGGTTAGGGTTTGGGGTTTAGGGTTCTAAGCTATCATACTGGGGAAAATGCTCATGAATACGTTTCTCCATCAATGTCCTTCATGTTACCATGTTGGGGCTATATCGTGATAAACATGGTTCCCACATTATGATAGCTACATTATGATAGCTGAATCTGGGCTTCTCTTAAGCGGTATCCTTCAGGAAACATTCCGTAAGATTCTGGGCTTCTCTTACTGGAAGTCGTTTCAGTTCACGTAAGGATAAAGAGTGCCTGTCTCAGCTTCCGTGATGTCCGGGCCGAAAGTTGTTCTATGCGTTGCCGTCACCGTAAGGAACTTATCTTCAGTCACCGTGATGTTCAGTATTTCGTTGTAACCTACCATACTGGGAAGATTTTAGCAATGAATATGATTCCCACATGATGGTAGCTGAAAGTAAGTTCCCTAAGAGCCACCCAGGATTCACCAAAGTACTCGGGCCCAAACGCCGACATCTTGGACTTTACGATCTACAAAAAAGGCTCGGGCTCCGTTCTGCGGATGTTTTCGATCAGCAGGATCCATGGTGCTTTGGGAGATGCAGGCCAGAATCTCGCGTCGGCTAACAGCTACCTTTTGTGTGTGGTCCAAGTTGTCTATCCTTTTGAGAGTTTGGGGTTCAAGAAAAAGGGATTCTTATTCACCTGCTTCGATCAGAGATCCTTGTAGTTATGGTGTGTGTCGCGGTGGCTTTCGTTTTGTAAAGCTCCCGCCTGTTTTGTAAGGAATTATAAGACTCTGGCCTTCATGGCGGACATGATGGGTGCATCGAAGAAGCCTGTCCCGAAATATGGCTGTGCCTTGACTGCATCAAGGTGCCTAAGCTTATCCCGAAACCCTAATTCTGAACATATTAAACCCCACAAACCCCAATACCTAAATTTTACAGCGCAGCTATTTTGGCAAACTGCGCAATCACCCTAAACCCTGAACCCCCAAAACCCATAAACCCCTTCGATCCAGACCCAGAGCCGGCTCCTAGGGCTCTTTGAGGTTGTTCTCTGAGGTAGGGTCTCCCCTTTTAGGGTCCTTTATATGGGTGGTTGTCAAAATTATGGTCCCTTTTTAGGTGCCGTACTATAATATGGACCCAAAAAGTTTAAAAGGGACCATAATTTCGACAACGACCCATATGAGGGTGCCGCCGGACTTTTTTGGTGGACCCAAGTAAGGAGCCTAAGTGTCAGAAGTGCCCATTTCTTGCTATATGAGAGCTTGAACAATGTGGGCTTAGGACTAACGTTGTTTCTTCGGGTCCCTTATTGACTTCTGTAAAAACAAACCTATCCCAAAGCCACGCAAGACCTACTCTATTGCTAAGGTCGATAGATCACCAAAGTTCCCTAAACCCTACACCGTTGACCCGAGACCCTCGACCCTAGACCCTAAACCCTAAACTAAACTTGGTTTAAAGGGCACCTTCTGGAACTGAGATAAATCTGGCACAGGTCGCTGTAATATAAGGGCCTTCATAATTACCTATACGATTGTGCTATGTGCAAGAATGAGGTGTTGTTTTGGAGAACAAACTGGTTTCTTTCAGGCCAATCTCGCTTGAGCCCGAAATCTTGCTACGGACCTGTGTGTGGCTGACGGTTGGTTGTTTATAGAATTCAAAGCAGCCTTGCCAATAATGGTACAAGAGGCCATCAGTGACGTCGCATTTCTGAATCAGAAATTACCTGCTAGTTCGAAACACACGCACATACTTCGATCCAAGTTCCAATTTCCCATACCCAGGTGGACTGACGTTGTGATCGCGATAGCCAGCAGCTCGGTTGCTACTATTCCGATTTCTGATGTTGTGCCGTCCTGGGCCTGAACCCTGTACTATTCTGGAACAGCTACCAATATTTTACCTCAGGGTTCCTCCTTAAATCCTCATAAGCCCTTTATAGCAACCCTTAAAGAAGTATTCATTTCATTGTTATTGTTATGAGTGTTGTTCTTCGCTAGTATTAACATGATTAAGATCTCAATATCATAAAGATCACTACTCTCATGTTTATCATGTTATTACTCTTATTCTTATTCTTGTTATTAGTATTGTCATAATTGTTCATATTGTTATTAATTTTATTCTTATTATTGTTATGATTAGCTTTAATCTTACTATCACTGTAACTATTACTACTACCATTACCAGTACTACTACTATTACGACTACTATTACATGATCAGTTTCATGATTTTTCTTCCAATTAATGCCATCTTCATTCGCCTTAAGCTCTAGAGCCCAAAATACTTCAACTACGAGGCTTGAATCCCTTCAAGTCCGAAGCCATCAAACTCCCAGCCTCAGGGGTTTAGAGTTTATTGTTGGGTTTAGGGTTTAAGGGTTTACGCCTGAGGTGAAGCCTCGTTCACGCACGATCGGTTTCATTTCAGGTTGTTGAATCTCGAGACAATTAACCTTAAGCCCGAATCCTAAAACCGAAATCCACCGGCGCTCAACCCGGCACTGTCGAGGAGTTCATACTGCTTTCAACATCTGCAGCGCGCGCTGACGCACACATCCAAGCTCCAGGCTGGTGCTCATTCGATGTTGGTTCTTTTGGTTTCCACACTTAGACTTGGTGATTCCGGGTGCAGGGGGTCAATGAATCTCAATCCCAAAGCCTGCACAGGCGGAGCCTGTGGTCGGCCGGTGGAGCTCCGATTACGAGCGAAGCAGACTCAAAAAGCGCTGGCGTGGGCTGATATAGGGGCCTTCATAATTTTAATAGAGCTCCCTTAAGGGTTCTTTGAAGGGCTTTTGAAAGGGCTCTACGAGGCTTGCTCCTTGCGAAGGCGAACAGGAAGGTATGCTTGGATTCTGAATTTCGTGCTCGCGATTGGTTCGAAGGATGAGACAAACTTGAGATCTTAGCATAAGACTTACTCTTGGGGCCTTACTAGTCAGAATAGGATTTTGGGGCCCCTTATACGTCAACTATAATAGGGAACCCCCAAAATAGTATTGGTCATTATTTAGGTGCTGATACTATACTGCAAGCAGAAGGGTATCCTGGAGGCAGATCATGGCTCCGAGCGCGTATTTTGAAACCATCGATGCCACCCCAAAGCTCCAGTCCCGAAACCCGGTTTAGGGTTTAGAGAATTAGGGTCTAGAGCTTTAGTGGTTAGGGGTTTGGGGTTCAGGGTTTCGGGTTTAGAGATTTAGGGTTTAGAGGTTTGGGGTTTGGGTGGGGGTTTAGGGGTTTAGGGTTTAGGGGCCAAGCCCTGAGCCCTAGCAATCCTCATGGCAAGGTCGCGGTGAGCGATTGCCGGTGGCGTGTGGAGCTTGATTCCTTTGTTGTCAGCCCTTCTCGACGAACCCTAAACCCAAAACCCCTAAACCCTAAGAAAGCCCCTAAACCCCAAGCCACTATAAACCTTAAACCCTATAACCCTATATGAACTTACATAATAAAAACGGTGGAACTTTAAACTTTTTGGTTTTACATGTTAGCTCTATCTTAGAAAGTTTGAACTTTTGGGGGCCCGGTTGTTGAAGAGTGAACACCTAAACCCTATACCCCTAGTGCTTGGAGGATCATGGCACTTAGTAAGTAGATTACAATGGGGGTTATAAATCAGCTAAGGGGGGTTATCCAAATCATAACCTACTGATAAGCTTACTTACTAAGTCCCATGAGCCTTTAAGTAGACCCTAAACCCTTAAGGGGAACCCCATTGTAGAACCCTATATAGTACCCTTGAAAGGAACCCTAAACCTTACTAAGTCCCATGAGTCTTTGAGTGACCTTTCGGACGAGGAGGTCGGCTTCAAAGTCTCCATTCTGGGCGAAGTACCCAAAGAGCCTAATGCCCCCCGCTTATTTAAGGAACATGCGGAGAAGTGCAAGGGTTCCTTTAAGGGCCCCCCCCCTATTTAAGGAATATACCTTGAATTGTAAGGGGCTTCAGAGGATGATCTAAGCTATAATCCTTAATTAACAGAAATGGCTAACTGGGCTCTCTGGGTTTCGAAGCATAGAGCACCTCTACACGAGCAACAGCATGGCATACACTCTGCAAAGCCTTGTCTTCATCCTGATTGGGTTCCGATGCACCGGGTCTAGCGCCCTAAACCCGAAACCCTAACCCTAGTTTTAGGTTTTGGGTTTGGGTTTCAGAGTTTGAGGGTTTTGAAGCTTTTGGGTTTTGTGGCATCTGCTATGTATAGCATCCATGCTTGAAGCAAATTTTTCACAGACTGCATTGATACTATATCCCCCGACTTTTGCACAGGACATCCTAATCCTAGAACCTTGCACCCTACACTCAAAATCTCAAAAGCTTAAACCCTCAACCAGAAGCCCTAATGCCAAAAACCCTCAGCCAAAGACGCAGCTAATCCCAAAGCCCTCAACCCCAAACCTCAGAACAGAAAACGATATATAGCACAAGGCTGAACAAACTTTTTTATGACCAGAAAAAAGCAAATACACAACGAAACTTAACACGAAAAAGCCCTAAACCCTAAAACCCTAAGCCCCAGTTAAACCCCAAACCCTGAAACTTAACACAAAAAAAGGTAGCCGAAGATCTTGCAAACCCTAAACCCTAAAAGAGGGTCCTAAACCCTAAACCCTAAACCCCACAAAAAAAGTAAAAGGTCAGCGAAGATCTTAATATAGAACCAAGTTAGGATCCTTATTGTAAGGACCCCAAACCCTAAATCCTAAACCCTAAACCCTAATTTCGGCTCTTAGAGGAGCCCATAGACCTAGAGACTCCACGATCCCTTAATTAAGGAATACCTAGGGATCTAGGGTTCCTTTTAAGGGATCTATAAGGTGTAGGGTTTTGGGGAGTCTAATATCCGTTAATTAGGGAATATACCTCAAATCATATTAGAGATCCGACGGTAAGTTAAGGTATATTCCTTAATTAAGGGATATTGGAGTCTCTGGGGATCCCTCATTGTTTAGCGCCCTGGCGCCCTGGCCCAGGTCGGGCAACAAAGCCCAAGGATCCCTCGAAGCTCGGAATGGCCGGAACCACAGGAATAGGTTATCTATGGAGTTTAGGGTTTAGGGGTTTAGGGTTTAGGCGTTTAGGGTACTATGAGGGCACTGTGAGGGTGTGACGGGACTAGAAGGCTGGTATACAGATGCTATGTATGAGGGTCCTCGAAGGCTTTGGGTTTCGGCTGTGAGAGAGTAGGTGCTGGGTTTGGCTAGCAGCTAGCACCTGATGTTGTATGCTTTACCTGCGGCTTTGGGGTTTCGGGTAAGACCTTCCAAGAGATCGAAGCATTCCACACCTCGACCTCACAGGCGTTTGTCCTGGCCGCAGGCAAGATCGCTCCAAAGCTTAAATCCTGTAGCAATGGCCCAGAGTGGAAGCAGTTTCACAACGCCGATTGTGCTATCGTTGCCTCGGAAATAAAGACAGAGACTGCCACGACGACGGTAGCTTGCTGCCCACCTCGCGCAAGAAGCCTTTTCTCGCTAATATTGGTGCATGCACATGCACTTGTGATTTTGTGCTGTGTGCTGCTGTTCTTGTTGATGGACACGATTATATTGAGGACGATGATGATGAGGAGGACGACGATCACCATCACGATGCGAATATTGATGCAGATGATGATGGTTATTCTTAAGATGACGGTGATGTTCATGACCACGATGATGTTGGTGATGATCACCATCATGATGATGATCATGTTCATGACGACCATCATGATCATGGCGATCTTGATGATGACGACCATCATCATGATGATTATCATTTTCACTACAATCATCAATCATAATCATAAGAATGGTAATATCGGATTGATGGGAAGAGCAACAGTATGGGCTTCGGGTGTATCTCCTTGAGGGTGACATGATGAGCACCGAGTTCAGACTGTCGCGTTCGACAGGTGTAGTATGCAACAAATTTATTTTAAAGCCCTCTACAAACCCTAAGAAAAGCAATAAACTTGGATAACTTCTTTCCTTTCAAAGCCAATGGGAGAACTAAACTTGTTGGCCTCATATTTTTGGGTTTATCTTAGAAAGTTTGAACATTTTCGGGCCCGGTTATTGAAGAAGAGAGTTCTCAGGCCGCATACAAACCGTGTAAAGTCCATAAACTCCCGCTGATTTTCTTTAGGGAACCATTTTGCAAGAAACCGTCAACAAAAAACGTGAACACCCCATAGCTTCGTACAGGACCCCTCTACCTGGCGTGGCTTCCCCAAAATCTGAACCTTAAACCGCAGCAAGGAAGAGCATAGAAGGCCGCCAAGACTAGAACTACTGGGCATGCAACTTCAGTGGGCATCGAACCCTGAACCCTAAACCCCTAAGCCCTAAACCCCTAAACCCTAGACCCAACACGCTAAACCTTTAGAGATTTCGGGGTTCAGACCTTCGGGGGTCCTCAAGCTAGCTCCCCATCAGTAACCTTCGGGCCGACAGCATCAAGCTCTTGGTCCACTTAAAGGCTCATGGGACTTAGTAAGTAAGGGGTTTAGGGTTCCCTTTAAAGGGTACTATAAGGGTTTCTATAAGAGGGGTTTAGGGTTTAGGGTCTACTTCAAGGCTCATTGGACAGAGTAAGTAAGGTTGTAAGTAGGTTATGATTGGGATGACCCCACTTAGGGGACTTATAACCCCAATCATAACCTACTTACTAGGTCTCATGATCCTTTTAGTACCCTGAGCTCCCCGTTATAGAACGCATTCAGGATCCGTTAAAGGATCCTTTCAAGGAGCCCTATACTTACTAAGTCCCATGATTCCTTGAAGTAGACCCTAAACCCTAAACCCCTCTTATA